TAGAGTGTCTTCCAGGGAGCGAGCAGAGAGAGTCTGTGTCTCCCACCTCCAAGAAGGAGAATACAGGAGTTCCCAGAATTCTCAGGAGAAGGCCATGCCTACACAGAGGCCGCATTGGTTATATCTTGATTGACAGTTTAGGCTCCACCCCTTCACACTTAATTCTCGAATTGACAAATGATTATATAAGTACCACAAGCACTGAGATCAGAAGACAGAGCAGAGGAGCTTGCAGAAACTGTGAGCCAGGGCAGATGCCATCCGGGATGAGAGAGGCCTTGTTAACAGTGGACAGACTTATAGATTGTGATAAGAGTTGTATGAGCCCCCAATAAAATGATTTTATAAAAAACCAGTGGATTACTGCAGAAGTCGTCAGGTTAGAATGCTTGTTTGCCTGAATGGTACGACTCTTCTTCTCTTTTGTTTTATTGCGGGCTCGTACAGCTCTTATCACAATCCATCCATCCATTCATGGTGTCGAGCACATTTGCACATATGTTGCCATCATCATTCTCAAAACATTTTCTTTCTACTTGAGCCCTTGGTGTCAGTTCCTCACTTTTTCCCTCCCTCCCCCATCCTTCCTCCCTTATGAGTCCTTGATAATTTTAAAATTATTATTTTTTCATATATTACACTGATCGATGTCTCCCTTCACCCACTTTCCTGTAGTCCACCCCCCTGGGAAGGGGTTGTATGTAGATCATTGTGATTGGTTCCCCCTTTCTCCCCCCACCTTCCCCTTCTAGCATCACCACTCTCATTATTGGTCCTGAGGGCTTTATCTGTCCTGGATTCCCTGTGTTTCCAGCTCTTATTTGTACCAGTGTACATGCTCTGGTCTAGCCGGATTTGTAAGGTAGAGTTGCGATCATGATAGTGGGGGGGGAGGAAGCATTAAAGAGCTAGAGGAAAGTTGTATGTCTCATCGGTGCTATACTGCGCCCTGGCTGGCTCGTCTCTTCATTGTGACCCTTCTGTGAGGGGATGTCCAATTGTCTACAGATAGGCTTTGGGTCTCCACTCCTCCCTCCCCGTCATTCACATTGATGTGATTTTTTGTTCTGGGTCTTTGATGTCTGATACCTGATCCCATCGACACCTCATGATCACACAGGCTGGTGTGCTTCTTCCATATCGGCTTCCATTTGTTGCTTCTCAGCGAGATGGCCGCTTGTTTACTTTCAAGACGTTAAGACCCCAGACGCTATATCTTTTGATAGTCGGGCACCACCAGCTTTCTTCACATTTGCTTACATGCCCATTTTGTCTTCCGTGATCATGGGTGCAGCTCTTCTTGAAGTCATAGAACTATTGAACTGTCTTCTATGTGAATTATATGCCAATAAAACCACTGGGGCCACCAAAAAAAGTTTGCTTTTAATGGCAGTAACCAGAGCAAAGGAGCCCTGGTGGTGTATGGTTATGGGTTGGGCTGCGATTTGCATGGTCGGTAGTTCAAAACCACCAGCAGCTCCAAGGGAGAAAGACTGGGCTTTCTACTCCCATCAACAGTGACAGTCTCAGAAACCCACAGGGGTCACTGTGAATCAGCATCGACTCTGTGGCAGTGAGACCAGAGCTTAGAAGCCTGAAGCAAAGGGTCCAGTGGGGACAGAGCAGTGGGGTGTGGATGAGAGATGAGCTGAGGGAAAGAGGGAGGTCTCTGAGCAGATGGGGCCTGGGCTGCCGGGAAGGGTTTCCTTGGGTCCAAGGAAGGGCAGCTCTGTTGAAGCAGGAATAAAGGTGAGATGGGCATGGGTCCACCTGATCTGAGAGCAGGGAGGTGACAGTGGGGAGCACCACAGGACTTTCTTTCTCCAAGACGTAGGAAGGAAGATTTGGGATCTTGCTGTTTAAGAGCTGAAACAGCATGCGCACCATGACTTGTTGACAGTAAAATGGATTGTCTGTCCTGTAAATCTTCCCCAACTCCCGATAAAAGTTTTAGAACATCTTTAAAAGATTGGGGCTCCCAACAGGCTAGACTGGAAAACACAAGTTTTTCTTGCTTGGTATATATTAATTTGTTCTTCGTCAGTGGATTGATGTTGTTGCTGTTTTGTTGTACAGTGTTGCTTGGTTTTGCTCTGTCTTGTTTTTATGCATGTTGTCTCCAC